TTCAACTTCGACGGCGGGGAGTGCTGTGACCCCGAGATCACCGATGTCACCAAGACCTGCTTCGATCCCGACTCTCCGCACAGGTAAGAGCCGGACTCCTCCCTCTTTTGATCCCTGCGCGGCTCCTGACGCCCAGTGGGGTTGCGGGAATCTTCCAGTTCACCCAGAAGATCGACCAAGTAATCACAGGGACTGTACCCCTTACCAGAATATTTACGGAGCGCCTCCTGTGGGCTGAGGGAACTCTTAGGACCCTGTCTTTGCGAGGGGCTCAGGGTCTGAACCGGGCCACCTGGGCTGAGGACACATATCCGCATCATAAAGAGCCGTGCTGTCCAATGCTGTAGTCACTGGCCACGTGTGACTGTTTAAATTTAAATTAGTGAAGATGAAATACAGTTTAAAATCCAGTTCCTGAGTCACACCAGCCACTTTTCAAGAACCCAGTAGCCGCCCGGGGATAGTGGCTACCACACTGGACAGAGTGATAGGACCGCTTCCATGACTGCAGAAGGTTCTGTCGGGCAGTGCTGGTCGAGCTGGGATTGGCTGGGGCCAGACAGACTGGGTTCAGGTCTATTTCCTCACTTTGTGACCTCTTACACGGTATTTCCTCGTCTGTAAAATGGGTATCAATGGTATCTACTATGTCAAGCCGCTTTGAAGATTGAATGAGGGTACGTAAAGCACACGTCTCTTCTAGGGGCTAGCAGCTTACATTACCTCTTAATAAGCATATTTGTCGTTTCTTGAGCAGTGAAAGGTAGCATGTGCCGTGTGTACAGGAGGTCAAAGAGGAACAGCTGACTTGCAGCCTGAATATGTTGGGGAAGGCTTAGGTACAGTTGGACGTCGGAGATCAAGTTGGGGGAGAGAGGAGGACACTCAAGGCAGAGGAATTTCATACGCTGCTGAGAAGAGGGCAGAAAGGGGAGTCTTCTGTCTAATGCCTGACTTAGCCTCTGCCTTGTGCTACATCTCGGACCAGCAACCCCAAAGAAAGACCCAAGGGGGAGCCATGGGTGATCTGTATTTGATGTGGGACTCAGGGAAACTAGTTCTGAGCCAGAGAGACAGTCCATATCAACTTTCCTGATTTCCCAGATTCACGCTGAACTTTTCCATTCTGTCCAAGTCGCAGGACCCTGGACTTGCTGATGGCTCGAGCACATTTGCCGACCTCTGCAGGTTTTCTGCTGACTCTCCTCTTTATGTCTCTCTCACAAGAGCAAGGGCCTCCCATGCAGAGACAAAATACCTATGTGCAAAGGAATGACGATGCTGGGAGGAGAATGTCGTGCCTGGCACCGAGCCACAGAGCACGTCAGCTCAGCCTCCTGGCACCGGGCGGGCCCCTGGACTCTCACCTTGGCTCAGAGACAGGAGCAGCCCATGTGGGAAGAAGCTTTGGTGTGTGGCCAGTTCCTTCGAGCTCACGATGCACTTTCATCTCTGCTCTCATTTGGGCTTTGACAGAATTGGATGATGAAGACTAGACAGGGTTAGCATTTGCACTTGACTGATGGGGAAATAGAGGGCCTTAGAGAGTGAAATGACTCGGCCACGGTCCCAGGTCAGGAAAGTCATTTGGCTAAATGACACATGCAAGCCTTCCGAGATTAATGCAGTGTGTGCGCTACTGAGCTGGACCCCAGGAGTTAACTGGTGTGCCCAGGCAGAGTGGGCGGGGGGGAGGCCTAGGGGCCAGGAATACTGGAAGTCATTCACTTATTTGTACATCTGTTCATTCATTCGTCCAGGCGACAAATGTTTATTCAGCACCTACCAAGTACCAGGAAGGTGGGTACCCTTATCCCTGCTTTGCTGAAGGAAATGCAGGATTCAGAACACGGAAGGGATTTACCCCTTAGCTGAGGTCACTCAGCTAATAAACAGAGAGCTTGGATTTGAATCTTGGTCTGTTGACTCCAAAGCTCCCACTGAAGGGTGGGGGTGGTATTTTTAAGTCCAAGGAACAGTAAGAGGCAGAGTCAAAGGACAGGGCTGACGGGCAGGGTGGCTTTCCTAAAGCCCTGGGAGAAAACCGCTGAGTATGATTGAGTCCGGACCAAGGGCAGCTGGCCTTTGTGGCGGGCACTCTGTGCTTGGGCGCAGGGGCCACGGGACCCCAGGTCCCAGGTGGCTCACAATCAGCAGACAGAGCTGGCAGGCACCAACGGCCTCCTCGTTTCTAAGTCACGGGGCCCCACGCCTAGAATGTCCGTGAGCAGCCATGTGCCAGCGCTGTGACCGCTACGCCAGGGCCTGTTTGTTTGCTGGCTGGAAAGTCATGTGTCCTGGGTGAGCCCCACCGGGAATGTGTCATCTCCTGATGGAGCTGGGGTGACAACGTTCTGGCTGAATCAGCTCTCCCGGGTGCAGAGAGAAACCTGTGGAAGTTTGTGGAGAAATACTTGCTTTGTGACTCAAAGAAAAAAAGAGGGAGGGAAGGAGGGAGGAAGAAAGGCAGGGAAGAAGGGAGGGAGGGAGGAAGGAAGGAGGTCACCTGTAATAGAAAATTAGATTGACATTGTCTAGGTGATTTATTTATTTATTTATTTTTTGCGGCACGCGGGCGTCTCACCGCCGTGGCCTCTCCCGTTGCGGGGCACAGGCTCCGGACGCGCAGGCTCAGCGGCCACGGCTCACGGGCCCAGCCGCTCCGCGGCACGTGGGATCCTCCCGGACCGGGGCACGAACCCGTGTCCCCTGCATCGGCAGGCGGGCTCTCAACCACTGCGCCACCGGGGAAGCCCTCCCTGAGCATTTGGGATTATGAAGTGCTGAGTGAGTGAGTTTGGAAGAGAATCGGATAAGGGCCTTGGGTTTTCATGAGCCACTGCAGAACTGTTAGAGCTGCACTGGCCATGAGTTTTCCTAATTAAGGACAGCCAAGTGAGGATGTGTACAAAGAAGGGGACTGGGGCGGCGAGGGCCCCCGACGCTGTGTTGTGTAGCCACTTGAAGATGCTTGGCTTGGATGAGGAAGTTCACGGCCATGACCATAGGGGCCATAACACATGTACTTAAGTCTCCAAAGGCCTGTCCTATGGAAAAGGGAACAGAATCACACTATATGCTTTCTAAGCCATGGCTGGGACCAAAGTGATGCAATTACAGGAGGCAGCTGAGTAGCAGCTAATGTCATCCCTGATCAGAATGGTCCTGCAGGTGAGTGATTTTCCCTCCACCTGAGGCCTGCACAGTGAGGCTGTAGCCAGGATTACAGCAAAGGTGGAGAAGGTGGCCCTGACGGTCTTAAGGTTGACCACTGCACAGCCCAACTTTTTGCTGCTCTCTTATTCCAAGTCATTTTAGGGAATGAAATGGTGACTGTTTCTGTCCTCTCTAACAGGCATTTGCTGGGTATATATAGCCCTGCGAGCCTCTCTCCTGTTCACGGGGGATGTTGCAACAAGTGGGCCATGTTTCTCACCATTGAGAGGCTTCCACGTTCATGGGGAACTCGTATTCAAACACGAGAAACTCTGATCTGTGGTTTTAGAGACACACAGTGGGGTCAGGAGACCTAGAAAGCAGAGGTGTGTGCTGACTAGGGAAGACAAGGCAAATCGGCTGGAGGAGGCATGATTTGAGTAGTCATCTGGGAACAGACAGCACCGAGAGAGAGAGACAGACAGACAGACAGACAGACACAGTCTGCACCAGTCAGGGTCCTAGCAGGAAACAGATGGCATATTCAAACGGAATAATTCAGTAGAGTTGAAGGAGGGGCTTTTTGAGAGGAGAGGCTGTTTACAACAGTGCAGGCAGGGTTCCGGACAGCCAGCAAGGCAAGGGTCAAGTACAGCGGGGACCCATTTCCATCCTCGGCCTGTAGAGGCAAGAGGAGGACGTAGTTACGGAACCCAGAGAGAGTGGCTGAATGGCGAGGGTGTCCTGGCGGCAGCTGGGACTCTCAGCAGAGAAGAAGAGACAAGCTTCAGCCCCCCGGGCCAGAAGGGAGCCAGAGACGCAAATTTTACGTGGTCGGTCTCTTCCACCTTCTAGTCTCCTGCCAGCGCTTCCCATTGGGGAACCACACTGGAAGTCATGAGGCAGAGGCATCTGTCGATGAAGCACCAGGAGGCCAGCCTCCCAAGGCATAGAGCAGGGTGGAGAGGGGTAGGGAGTGGATGTGGGTGAGCGAACAGAACACGACCGGAACACAGAGAAAGCCAGTCCATGCAGAGGGTGCAGCCTAAGCAAGGAGGAGGGGCTTGGAGAATAAGGAGTCATTCAGTATGGCTGGGACCAGACCATAAACAGAGAAGGGTTCAATTGATCTCATGGAAAACTCTAGCCACAGCCTCTCTCCCCTCCTTCATTTCCTTCTTATTTTCTTCCTTCCCTCCCTCCTTCCTTTCTTCCTTTTTCTCTTCTTTTCTTTCCTCTATAAATACTGGTTGAATGTTCCTTTTGTGCCAGCCCAGTCCCTGCTCTTTGGGAGCTCACCATCTAGTGGATAAGACAGATGAATAAACACACCACTGCCATCACTGGTATGAAAGAAGGACCCCCAGTCTCAGCCAAGAGGAGCTGTTGGTGGGGGGAGTACAGGTCTTTTTATCAGACTGGACAGTTAGAAAAAGACATTCCAATGAGTCTTGGCCATCCTGTGCAGCAGTGGAGAGGGGCCAGGTCGGCAGAATTTCATCTGCAGCCGTTAGAAATGTCTACAGGCAAGTGAGAGCGTACTTCGCACGCCTTTTTATACATGAAATGGAAAACCTGGATACTAACAGAAATCCCCAGTATCAGGAAATCCAGGGGCAGCTGACACTTTGGGCTGTACACACCCCACTGTGGGAAGGCGTTGCAAAACACCCACCAGGTTCCTGCGTGGACCCCTCCAAACTGCAAGCTCTGGCACCGTTAGGTGATCTTCACCTTTGTCCTTGAACATCTGTTCAGATGGAGTAGGACAGATAGAAAGAAAGAGACTTCCCTTACAGCCTGATGGCTCACAGGGAAACCTTTTCTTTGCCTTCTCCTTATTATTATTTTTGATGTAGCAAGGGCATTCCCCTGGGGCCATGCTAATTTTTTTTCTTTTTGGACCCCAGTTGGCATTGCTGGAATC